CCCCTGCCTCCCTCCGGCCCCCGCAGAGGCGGACCGCCCCCTTGCATATAGTGCCCTTCCCCCTGCGCCGTCCCCCTCTCTCCCTCCTGCTGTGAGCCATGTCCTCCCAGGTGGCCGCATCCGTCCGCCAGCCGGACCAAGACCCGGTCGACGCTTCTCCTCCGCCGCCCGCCGGCAAGTCCATAGCCCCTCGCACATCCGGGGACGGGGACAGCTCCGCCGAGACCGGGGCATCGGCCGCCACCTCGCCCGGGGCCGATGCCGAGACCTCCCCGACCTCCGATCCGCTGGGTCTCCGGTCGACCTCGGCCCCAAGCCCCGGCGGGGCCTCCATCAAGCGCGGCGACAGCTACCAGCGTTTCAGCAGCGTGAGCGCCGCTCCGACGCGCTCGAACCCTCCGCCGCACTTTGGCCGACCTGCCGGCGAGGAAATCCCCGCCTCGCCGCAGGGTCCCGCCTCGCCCCGGAGCCGCCTTCTCGGCACGCGGCACATCCAGTCCACTGGGTCCATTTACTCTCAAACTCCCCGGTCCTTCGTGCCGTTGGTCCCGGTGGCGGTCCCGGATGGTGGCGACTCCCCGGCTCCGGCGGACATCGTGTCCCCCGCGGTGGTTGCGGCCCCGGCGGTTGCGGCCCTTGCTCGGACCATCTCCATGGTATGTGTCGGCCTGTTGCCATGGCATCCCCTCCTCCCATGGTGTGCTTGATTCCCACTTGGCGGCCTAACCCCCCCCCCCCCGTTTTCCGCTTTCTGTCCCCGGCCTGCCGGTCGCCTCCCCCTTTCCCCCCTCCCCCCTTCCTCCTCCCTTTCAGCGTATCAATGCCGTCCCCACCAAGAAGCAGGTCCCGGAGGTCCGGCCACTGGTCTGCGTCCGGTCCTTGGCCATGGCCATTTCCGCCGAGCAGGAGGCCAATGCCACAGGTGAGGCCGGTCCCGGGACGCCGCTCCTCTCTTCCGGGGGATTGCCGCGGGCGTCGCGTTCGAGCTCCTTCAGCAGCATGACCGACGAGCAGTTCGACGACTCCTTCGCCTTGAACTCGGTTGAGTCGCTTGATCCGATCGAGGAGGAGGACTCTGCCGAATCGGCCACTTCCGCCATCAATTTGGCGGACGTCGCTGCCGCGCCTCCGGCTCCGAACGACCAGCCTGTCAGCATCGAGCCCGAGGTGGCCGAGCCCGAGGTGGCCGAGCCCGAGGTGGCCGAGCCCGAGGTGGCCGAGCCCGAGGTGGCCGAGTCCGAGCCCGAGGTGGCCGATATTGACGCCGCCGAGCATGAGACTGTCGAGCATGAGACTGTCGAGCATGAGACTGTCGAGCATGAGACTGTCGAGCTTGATGCTGCCGATCTCGACACCAGTGAGTCTGAGAATGTGGAGCCCGAAGCCACCGAGCTTGAGGTCACTGAGTCGCAGCCTATGGAGCCGGAGCCCACTGAGCCGGAGCCCACTGAGCCGGAGACCGCTGAGCCAGAGCCCACTGAGCCAGAGCCCGCTGAGCCGGAGCCCGCTGAGCCGGAGCCGACCGGCCTCGAGGCTGCCGGATCTGAAGTCATTGGGTCTGAATCGACCCAGCCCGAGACCACTCAGTCACAAAGCACTCAGCCTGAAGAGGCCACCCAGTCTGAGGCGCCTGCTCAGCCCTCCGCCGATCTCGCGTACGACTACACGTACGACTACTACACCTACGACTCGGAGGATGGCGCCGCCGGGTCGGATGCCGATGACGAGCCCCCCAGTGACGTTGATGATGCTGGCGATCCGCTCACGAGGATTCGCCTGCGCGCCAGCAGCGGACATGCCCGTCGCAGTGTGGAGATTGTCATTGACAAGCTTCTTGACGAGGAGGCCGCCCTCGTGGACGACAGCCTTGAGTCTCTGCTTGAGAGCTACAGCGACCTGTCCCCGCTGGAGGACGATGACCTGCTTCTTCACAGCTCCGACGGGGAGGAGGCCGACACGCCTGGCTCTGCCCCCGGTCCTGCCCCTGACGCGCCGGTCGCGGAAGTTCCCCAGCTCCCGGCTGCTGCGTCTACCTGAGCACGGGCCCTGGTCCTGTTGTTCGAGGCAAGTCCACCCTCCGCCGGTGTCCCCGGTCCTCGCTCCTCACAATTCCCCTTCCTCCTCTCTTCGTCGTTGTGCCACCACCACCCCATCACACGCGCGCCAGTGTCTTCCTTGCGCCGCGCGGTGAGTTCTGCCGCCGGCCGGCCATTGCCTTGTGTTTCCCGCGCCTCCCTCCCCCTCCCCCTCCACTGCACATCCCCTTCTCCTCCTCTTCCCTCCGGATGTGCGCTCTCAGCTGTGTGTCCCTGCGGGGCCATTCATCCCTCCCTCTTCCTCCCCCTCCCTCCCTCCTCCTCTCTCCCTATCCCCTTTGTCCTCTTCCCTCCCCTCTCCGGCAAGCTTCCCGCTTGCATCTCCTTGTCTCGTGGTAGAGCACCTCGGAGGATGATTGCTGTACCACCCCGAGACTCCTCCCCCATGTGCCAACCTCTTTCGTCCTTGCGTCCTCCCTTTTGTCCTCTCTGTCTCCCCCTCTCGAAATACACATATTTCGCCCACATCTCAGCTCATTTAAATTTTTTCTCCCCCCCCCCTCTGCCCGTCCCCCCCTCCTCTGCCCGTCCCTCCCCCCTTTGCCTTTCCCCCCGGGTGCGGGTGTCCTTCCAGTGATTCGTGCGCAGCAGACGCCACATGCCAACGATCGCGGGCCCGCCTCCCCGTCCGGTGGTGGCATCCATCGAAATGTATCCCACGCCCGATGCATTGGGAGCTGATCCGACGACGGATCGGTGTCCTCTGCCAGTGTGCCCTGGTCTCCTCCGCCCCACTTGCCCACTCCCCCCCCCCTCCCCCTTGTTGGCGGCCCGCCCGTTGCTCTCTCGGGTGGTGGGGACGCCTGTGGAGCTTCCTCAACACCGCCGGGCACAGACGCGAGTGCAACACATCCGCGGTCCCCGTTTTCCTTCGAATTTGTGGGCGCCTGCGAAGACAGATGTGTGTCCTGGTGTGTGTGTTGTGTGTGTAGGTGAGTATGTGGAGGGGGGGGGGCGGGCAAGAAGGAAAGGGGATTATTCTGCCGCCGAACCCTCTCCCAGGGGGGAAGGCGGCCCTTGGGTTCTTGCTCCTGCGCGACCGTCTCTTGCCTCCCTCCTGCCCCTTTCTCCTGCCCCCTCTACTCCCCCCCTCCCCGCCCCGTCTCTTCGCCCCCCCCCCCCCCTTTTGCGGCGGCCCCTGTGCCACACTTCCTTGCTTCCATGGCCGGACCGCCGGACCGCGAGTAGAGTTCCCTCCCCTCCTCCTCTTGCCCCCCTTCTGTCTGTCGCGGCCCACATCACCATCATCATCATCGTTGTCGTCGTCGTCGTCGTCGTCGTCGTCGTCGTCGTCATCGCCGTCGCCCCCTCACCCTTCCGCTCTGGTGTCCTCCGTCTTTTCTTTCTCCTTGTTCCCGCATGTCAATCAATTATTCGAGTCTGCTTGAGCAGGCGGTCGCCGAATGGGCGCCCTATTATCTCGAGTACAACCAGCTGAAAGGTCCGGCCCCATTGCCCATCCGTCCACGGCTTCCCGCCCTGCTCCCCTGTTTTTTTTTGGCCCGTCCTCCCTAGCTCCCTGTCTGATTTGTCTCTCTCTCTCCCTCCCCCCCCTCTCTCTCCCTCTCCCACAGGCCTCATCAGCCGAGTTGCCCTCTCCCTGGAGGCCACATCCCAGAGTGCCGAGGTTCCACCTGCCCAGGCACATGTTGGTGCTGTGGATGATGAGCGCCAGCGCTTCGAGCGGTATGTCTGCCCTTCGCTGTGACCAGCATGTGCCAACAGCAGCGCGCGCCATGTCTGGCCCGCCCTTTCGCACGGTTTCTTACTCTCTCCCCTGGTAGCGAGCTCACCAAAGAGCTGGAAAAGATCAACACCTTCTACATGGTGAAAGTCAACGAATATTGGGACACCTACACTCAGCACTACAAGGAATCCATCAAACGAATTGTGCGCCTTCATCCCCCCCCCCCCCCCCTCTCCCTCTCTCTCTCTCTCTCTCTCCGCCCATTGGGCCTCTTGATCATCCTTCCTGCATCTAATCACCCCCTCCCCCCCTCCCGGAGCAGCTCTCTCGCGCCCAGAACGTTCAGCACCTCTCCAGCCAACTCCGGCGACAGGCCTCCATCACCGCCTCCTCATCGCCGGATACCGTCCCGACTCCCGCATCACCCGGTGCTGGCCCTGCCTCGCTGTCGGAAGTTGCCGTGTCCAGCATCGAGGGTGGTGGTGGCAGCCTCCAAGGTCTTGCGGCGGATGGGCTCAACTTCGATGACTTCCGTCCTTTTTTCGAGTTCTGTCGCAAGGTCGATGATCTGCGCAACTACACCGTGCTCAATTACATTGGGTTTTTGAAGATCTGCCGCAAGTACGATGCGCGGACCAATCCCGGTGTGTTCCCATACTTCCCCCTGCCTCTCCTCCCCTCTTGTGTTGGTGCCCTTTCCGTCGTGGCCTCTCATTGTCCTTTCGCCCTGCCTTCCTCGTGCTGCTGCCGCTGCTGCTGCCGCTGCCGCTCCTAACCCCCTCTCTCCGTCGCCATACTTCCAGGCGCCAGCTTCCTGCTCAAGTACACCCCGCTCCTGATCCAGCAGCCGTTCTATAATTCCATTGCATTGGCGGCACTCTACACCGAAGTTCAGGTACACATCCTCCTCTGGCCTTGCCTCCCCGCCCTGCCATTCTCTTTCCAGCCAGACGCTCTCCCCGCCTTGGGGGTTCCTTCCTGCCTGCGTATTCTTAGGCACGCATGCTGGCTTGCGCCCACCTGGGGCCCTTTTCTGACCCCCTCCCCTCTTAGTGCTACTGCACCGAGATCTTCTGGCTCAAGAATGAGACCGTCACCCAGGTGGCCGACTTTACTTGCGTCCTGTGTCGCGAGATCCTCCAGTCGCCGCTGGTGCTCAGCTGTACACATCGCTTTTGCGGGCGCTGTGTTACCGGCCTTCCGGTTGACCACACCTCCGGCACGGCAAGGTGCGTTTCCCCCGGGGCGACTGATCCCCTCGCGGCCTCCGGCCCCTCTCCATGCGCTTACATGCGTGCGTGTCGTCCATTTCCCCCGCCCAGTTGTCCCATCTGCCACAAGGAGTTTGATCCGCTGAATTCGGTCAACTTCCACACGTCCGCCGTCTTGAATGCATTCATCGATACATACTTCCGGCCACCGGCGGCCGAGGCCGGGCCCGTGACGCCGGCCGGCATGGCGGCCGCCGCGGCTCTGGCAGCCGCCGGCGGGGCCCCCCAAGCCGGGGTCAATGCCCTGCTGGTTGCCGTGCCCACGGCCGATGGCGGTGCCGGCACCGGCGGCGGCCCCCTGGCGTCTGATCCTCTGGGGCCTCTTCCACCCGGGGCCGGGGCCATCCTCTCGCCCTTCGGCACGGCCATTTCGCACCTTGGCGTGACTCCGGATGGGTCGACCCTGTTGTCGGTTCCCAGCGGCTCGGTCTTGGTCCCGGCGGCGGCCATTTCCTCGCACCACCATCACCACGCGCCTGCGGCCACCCCGGGTGCCGATGGGCGGCACTTTGAGGCTCTTGGCACGGCGGGGGCCGCCGGCAGTGGCACCCTCCCGACCGGGGGCGAGCTCCTGCTCCAGGGCGGCCCGGCTTCCCCGGCCCCCGGTACCCTGGGCCATTTGGGCTTCGATTTCATAGCTCCCCTGGGCCCGGGGATCGGTCTGGCGCCGCCCCCACCGCCGGCCTCCGGGTCCTTGCTGTCGGCCTCGCCGTCGGCCGCATCGTCGCTGGGTCTGCCGGCCGCCAGCGGGCCACCCCCGCCGCCCCCGGCCGCCGGTGGCATCGATGACCATCTGGATTCTTCCGACCCCCTTGTGCCTCCCCTGTCCCCGGGTCTGGTGACTGTCCCGGTCGCCTCCTCGGGAGCTGGGACCACTGCCCCGGCCAGTGTGCCGGCCGCCGGATCCGGAGCCCAGCCGGCCCCCCCGCCGGCTGTGATCGACATGACTCGGCTGGCGCCGATCAGCCTCGCCGGCGGGACGGTCCTGCTGCCGTACAACACCGCCCCGGCAGCCGACACGGCCCCCAGCTTCGAGGATCCCTTCAATACTTTCGAAATGTCGGTCTTCTCATCCAGCCACCTGGGTCAGGCATCGGTTGAGCCCTTCCTCCAGGAGCAGGGCCACCGGGCGTCCATGTACTCTCTGGCGCCTCCCTCCCCGGCGCAAGCGCGCTCCTGGCGCAAGTCCCGCAACTCCTCCAGCTTCAGTGGGTCCGGCTCGCGCAGCGGTCGGGGCTATGGCGGCACACGTGCCGGCGCTCGGTCCGGATCCGGGGACTTCTGGCGCAAGCTCGGCTGGTGCTGTGTCTCCTTCTCCCGGGTGGTGGGGGACAACCTCTTTTCGCGGAGCGCTCTCAGTGGCCGGCGCCACTCGACAGCCGCCGTGTTGCGGGTGATCTTCACGATCATCGTCATTGGCCTGCTGCTGGCCTTCCTCCTGCTGACTGGGCCGTGGCAGCGCTCGGCCCTGCAGGAGCAGGCCTTCCTTCGGCCGTCCCTGCCGGCTGTGGCCTTCCCCGGGCATGCCTTTGTCGGTCGGTCAGTGGCCTCGCTGGATTCCGTGTGTGCCTCCATCGCTGCGGCCTATGTGTTTGATGGCTTGCCGGCGGTGCCCGCTGGCAGCCCTGCCCCGGCCCCGGCTGTGGCGCGCATCCTGGAGCGCTTCTCCCTGCGCGCCCCGCTGGCCATCGACCATCCGGCCCTGGCAGCCTTCCCGGTGTGCCTGCTGGACCAGGGTGGCCTGGCCGGTCTTCCCGCCGGGGTGGCCACCAGCGCGGTCCGGTGTCTGCTGGACCACCGGCCGATGGTCTTCTCGCCGACCATGCCCCCGGCGATTGACATGTCCTTGCTTGTCCACATGGATGTCCGGCTTTTGGCCTCCTCCTCCTCCCTCATCGCCACATACTTCATTTCTCAAACCGCCACCCCCGGAGCGGACCTCACCCTTCCGGCCCTTGGGCCGGCGGTTGCCGGTCCACCTCCCTCCGGGCATCCGGCCGGCACCGTCCACTGGCCATCAATGGGGGCCACACGCACCAGCAACAATCCCTCCCCGGCGTTCCCCTATCTCCCGCCGGGCATCGCGGGCTGCCTGCTGGCCGGGCTGCTGGAGCAAACCGCCGGCCTGACCCCCAGCCAGATGACCCCCACTGACCAGGTGGTTGCCCGGTACCTGTCCTATGTGTCCGGTGTGGACGATCCCCAGGAGCTGTACCAGGACATCCTCCGGCCTTAGAGGGCCGGGGAAGTGGCCGGAGAGAGACCACACAGGGAGGGAAGGACAGCACTCGCCCCCCCCCGGCGGGCGTCATTCTCATTCCCAATGCGCGGACCCTGGGCTTTTTTCGATCTCTCCTCTTCCCCCCCCCCCCCCCCCCCTGCGGCATGGAGCTCCCACTCCTGCTGCGCCCTTCTTGTACTTCAGAAATAGACGTGCCACAGTGGCACTCCCTTCCTTCCCATTCGACACTGGTCTGGGTGTGTGTGTGTGTGTGTGTGTGTTTGCATCCGGACAGAACAGCAGCCCGTCCCCGAGGTGGGGGCGGCTTTTCTTTTCTTTCCGTCTTTTTTGCACATAGCAGTCTATCGGGCTCCGGAGAGAGGGAGGGGTGGGGGTGGGCGGAGTCACACACACACACATGCGGGGCAGCGGGGCGGAGTGGGCTCTCACTCTTCGGCGGCGCGGTGAAGTCGGCTCTCACTCTTCGGCGGCGCGGTGGAGTGGGCCCTCACTCTTCGGCGGCGCGCTGCCAGGAGGACGCCCCATTGGGGAAATCGCGGACGGCTACCCCGGCTCGGTCACGCAGATCATCACGCGTGCGGTCGGTGGCCGCCAGCAACTCGCCGGCGGTCGATCGCACCGCCGCTCGCAAGGCCTCCCCCTCGGCGGCCGACTCGCAGGCAGGCCGAGTCAACTTCATGAGCCGCAGGCCCCCCTGTCGGGTGGCGGCGCGCAGCTGCACCGCACTGTCGAGGATCGGCCCGGCCGAGGCCAGCGCATGCCCCTCCCCGGCCAGGGCCATGGACGCCCCGGGGCCAGCCGCGCGCGGATCATAGTCCAGCCCGGTGGCGTGGCAGAACTCGCCGACCACAGCACGCGCCTGGCGCAAGGCATCCAGCGCATCGCGCGGCAGCAGCCCGGCACTCAGCCCGGCCACCATCACCGGATCGGTGCCGGCCCCGAGGGTGGCCATGCAGTCGGACAGCAGGGCGTTGGCCTCGCCGATGAGGACCCCCACCAGGCGCACCGCGCGGACCGTGTCCAGGTCCTGGTTGGTCAGGCAGTCGGCGATGGCCGCCCGGGTGTGGCAGGCCGTGGCATACAGCTGTCGAGCGGCCCCGGCCACCGGGGCGGCCCCGATCGCCGTGAGGCTCGAAGCATACAGAGCCCCGGCCGATGGCCGCATGACCCGGGCCACCTCCTGCCGAAGGGCTTGTCCATACCGCTCAAGCAGGGCATCCGTCTGGTGAATGAAAGACTGGACATGCACTGGTGAGACACCGTCCGAGCAAGGGGCCAGGCAATGGCCAGACGGCCAAGGCGGCAAGCAGGAAGATCCCCCCATGCATGGGTTGGGATATGACGCACTTGAATACGACGGTCCGTTGCGGCGGCGATGTCAAAGGGCCCGGGCGAGGACTGCCGGTCGCCCGAGGCGGCCTCCGGAGCCAGGCTCTGTGGGTCGACTTCGAAGTCCGACCGGTAGTGCACCATCAGGCACATGAGGCGAAAGATGCGCGCCCGGCGAGCTGGGTCCTCGGTGCCCAGGAACTCCTGCAGACAGCGAGGCACGGGCGGGCGGGCGGGCGGGCGCGCGCGCGCGCGTGTGTGTGTGTGTGTGTGTGTGTGTGTGTGCGTGTGGATGGTAGGGGAGGCCGGGGGAGAATAAATGCTCATCATGTCAGATGCTTCACCAGCGTCAAGCAATACATGTACTCCTCCGAGATACGGCTGCTGCTGGATGGCAGGGCGCGCACCTGGATGGTGATGAAGTTCTTCAAGGACTTGCTCATCTTCTGCCCGGACACCGCCAGGGGGCCGTAGTGCGTGAAGTGACGGCACCATTCGTCCAACGGCGCCGGGACCGAAGAGCACTCGTGAAAGCCGTGCACCGAGCATTGCAGGCGCTCATTGGCATGATGCGGGAATTCCAGGTCCCGGCCGCCGGTGTGTAGATCCAACCGGAGACCCTGGCCGTCGGAGCCGGCGGAAAACCCGATGGCCGTCAAGGCGGAGCACTCGATGTGCCACCCGGGCCGGCCCGGGCCCCAGGGCGATGCCCACAGGGGATCTTGCTCAGTTCCGGGCAGGGGCCGAGCTGCGGAAGCCGTCGGATCGCCGGCACTCGCCATGCCCGGGGCCGTCTTCCACAGGCAAAAGTCCAAGGACGAGCGCTTCTCCCGCAGGGCGGCCGTTTGGACGTCATCCGGCTCCTCCTCGGAGGCCAGCTGCAGGGGCGCCTCGCCGGCCGGGCGCCCGGCATTGTACGCGGTGCTGTCAAAGTACAGGCTCCCGGTCCGGCCGCCGCGATAGGCAAACCCATTGGCCTCAATGCGCCGGGCATACGCCACGATGGCCTCCATGTGGTCGGTCACGCGCAGGGTCCGGCTCGGGGGCGTCACCCCGAGAAGGGCCATATCTCCGAAGAAGCGTGCCTCAAAATGGGCGGCCAGGTCGGCCGCCACCGCGCCGGTTTCCCGGGCCCGGCGGATGATCTTGTCATCGACATCGGTGACATTTTGCACCAGGTCCACGGTGGTCCCCGGGGGCGCGTATGTCGTCAGCACCCGGCGCAGGACATCCTGCGAAATGTACGACCTGTTCCAACAATGTCGAGCCAGCAGAGGGAGCGGGGGTCAGAGAAGAGGGCCCGGCAGGGAGGTTGCTCCTGGCATTGCAGGCTGGCGCACCGGGCGTGTCCCAGATGCGCGTCGTCGTAGACCGTCGGCCCGCAGGAGTACCAGCCAAAGCGGTGGCCCCCGTCGAGCGAGGCCGCCAGCGGTTGCACCCTTCGCGTGAGCGTGTTGTAGATGTTGACTCCAATCGGTCGGAGGCCGGTCATCGGGCGGAGCAGAGGCAGCAGCGTCCGGGAGAGACGACGAGCGAGGGACAGGCGGCCAGCACAGGGGACAGCCGGGGGGGGGGGGAGGGGGGGGACGGATGTAGACACGCGAAGAGCGGACGCAGGGAGGGGCGACGG